GCAAGCCATCCGGGGTTACATTGCTCTTGCAAATAAAGATTATTATTATTATTATTATTATTATTATTATTATTATTATTATTATTATTATTATTATTATATGCATTTCCAGAGACATGTTCTTTCCATCAGATTAGCCTTTCCGTGCATTTCTTTTTATAACAAAATAGCGCGCGAGATTTAAAAAAAAAAAAAGATGTCTACGTGATTAGGATTACAAACATCGCAGGTCGCAAGCGAATAGTCAGTTTTTTATGTTTTGTTTTAGATTGGGAGAAAAAAAATCTTGGGAAATTGGGAAAACGAACAGCAGGAGAAATCGTTAAAGGGATACTTCAACGAAATTTGAAATATTCTCGTCGTGTTCAAAAATAGGTTGTTATATGATCCACAATATCCGTAAATGACAATCGCACGTTTGTATTTTGAGCCTGGTGGCTGTATTGTTCGTTATAAACGGCCCACTCTGGGAAGCGCTCGGAGGAGGCCCAGCGGAGACCACGTGACATCCAACGCAATCGTGACGTAGGTCGTCTCAGGACGAGCAAAGCTACGGCGAGGCTGATGTCGAGAGGATGGCCTAGTCGTTCCAGCCACCGAAGCGGCTGCTTTTGTACGAATTTTGAGTGACGGGTTAATCCTCTAAATCTTCTAGGGGGACAATAGCGACTTCTGCGACACACAAAAAGCATTCTCGGAAAGAGGGGAGTTCCTCCTTTCCCTCTTCTCTCGTCGTGGCCGGAGGCGAGACAACCTCCGTCACTAGCTGTCAAGGTTCCTAGACGGGCATTACAAGCGAGGCGTCAGCGACATCCACCAGGTGCTCTTTGCTAATCGTTTCATTCGTTTTAAAATTCATTTTCGTGACTTTTTTAACAAGATATTGGTATGTTCGATGTGACGCTGCTCCTTTGATCACATATAGACCAAAAAATGAGCGCCGAAATTTCGTTGTAGTACACCTATCTATTTGACTGGTTTTCTTTCTTTTCTTTTGCGTAATGGATTTGCGTAAAACGCAAATCCATTGATTTGCGTTTTACGTCCGATCGTCAGCTCACATGGCGAACAAATGTTTGGCGATTAGTTGCTGCGTTTCCCGGGTGGGACGCTTCTGTCTAGCCAGCCGTGTTGGTCAGGTGGACTATAGGTGGCGCAAGCCTCCGCCCGATTTAAAGGATTCAGCCGGATCCACCTATTCATCCGTGCAGAGAGTCTAGATTTAAGAGAGGGAGCAAGTCGAGCCATGGAGGGGGCGGTTGCAATGTAATGGCGGACGCCTCCCGCGCATTTTGGTCGCTAGTGCAAATGCGTTGCGTTCTCGCGTGGCGAGGAGGAATGCGGGGACGGAGACGCTTGCGGACGTTGAACGCTTCCCTTACCTGCTGGAAGCTCACACTGCAGACGCGAGTCGTAAAGCACGTGACCACGGCAGTCGGAAGCACTTTAGAATCTAGGCACACTACCGCCTAAGAGACCATAAAGGCAATTTAATGTTTTTATTTATTTTTATTTTTTTTTTAAATAAGGTGTCAAATAAGGTGCACTGGGGCCTGGCATGCCACACAATTTTTTCTAGAACGTTGTGACTCTTTTTTTTGTACCTGCACATAAATTTGCGGAACCGAAACAAACATTCAGATTTCTTCCATTTTTCGCCTCTGGAAAGAGAAGTGACGTCAGGGAGCACTGTCGGCATCGGTAGGATTTAGTGCACATTCAGTGTGGTTCCCGTGGTTCGCTCTAGTGCACGGCGGTCTGTGAAGAAAACCTGGAAGAAATGGACGACAACGCCGCGCTTTCCTCAGACGCGGGAACTTCATGTTTTTACCCAGACTCCGGCTGACGTGAAGGTGCTGCTCAAAGTCTTCTGATCGGAAATGCAACGAACAAATCCTGACACCGCTGTCCACAGCTCTACGCAAGACGACGGCGCGCAACCAAATGCTGCGCATTGCTGCATCGGTCGGCAGTTTATGCAAACTAACGTCGCCCGATCGACCGCACGTCTTTAGCCGACCTTTCGCGCAACCTACTACTCCACATAAACGCGGCATGATAGGTGAGACACCAGTTCGCAAAGCGAACACGAGACGACGCTCGAAACCAAAACCAAGAGTCCGCCGCCCCCGGCGCTCGTACCTCTTTTCCTTTTTTTGTTTTGTCCATGGTTGCTAAATGCTTTTTACGTGCCCGAGGTAGCAGTGCGGGATGCGTTCAACCAGTGACAAACGGAGGGATCGCTTCAGATTATGCTTTTATACACGGTATGAAACCTATGAATTCCCAACTACAACTTCAAAAGATTATCCAACGTTCAAATAAACTTTTTTCATCACATCTCACCACCGGAATCGAAACCAAGAGCGCGTCTATCGTTTGAACCAATCGCCAGACGAGGAGTCCGTTGTCGTCACGCTTCGACGGCGCACTTTAGTTCACCTTTCTGCCGCCGCCTCGGTGGGGTCTCAGGCATCGTTCCCGGCGCTATTATTACCGCGCCTGTTTGCTCGATTGGTGCGGCGCCCAAACTTCTGTTCGGGCTAGAACTTGGTCAACAGTATCTGAGACGTGGCTGACATCCATTTCAATCGTCGAATAAAACTTCGAAACTGCCTTCATGGTCCCTTTAAGTCGTTGGCTTTCTTTTCCCCCTGATTGGCCGGCGCGGAACTGGACGCTTCTTGGAAATCGTCACTGAAAATTGATGCTGATTCACACTGGTACCGAAACACTCGTGTCTCGAATGTCGCGTGCCAGGAATCTCCGGGAAGTGTTAGCGACGCTTAACAAGTCATCGGACACCCGGTGACTTGTGGCGCAAGCAGACGTCGAGGTTTCGTAACGTTACGTACGAGAACGGGGCTGTGTAAACCCAAACGCCCTCGAGACGCCGAAAAAGTGCCCATTGAAACGTCCACAGAAGCACCGAGAAACCGCCTTCGTGTTTGCCGACCTTCAGTCTGCTGGTCCCAGTGGTGGGTCGCCTGCGGAGCTAATCCCAGAAAGCTGTCTGTCCGTGCGTTTCCCCGCTAAATTTAGCGGAGAAATTGACGTCAAACGATGAGGTTGTCACGTGACGTTACGTGACGGTGACGCCACGGCTTGGCCCCCGACGTCGGGTGACGTGACGTCAATTTCTCCTCCAAATTCAGAGGTGAAATGGTAAACAGTAGAGAGTTTTAGTAGATCGCACCGATGCCCCCGATAACGATACGATTAATGCGAAAAGGCGGCGGCTGGGTATGCGGTAGGGTGCATTCAAGCGAATTCTATAAACAAGACTGCTGTCTTCGCGAACCCGTGAGCGAAGTAAAAACAATATCCTTCGACGACAGGATGGATGCGATCTCTAATCGCCCCGTGTATACTGTTAAAACTTGGTCGGTCTGCGAGCTTTGAAGATTGATGGCCGTGATCCACTTGCGATTTGATGTCGGCTCGCCGTCACCGTTGTGAACAAGATTCGGTCTGTTTCTTCTGGCTCTGCGACTTTTCAGTCTGCTATACAAATAACAGGTTTTATTTATTTATTTTTCTTGGCTTGGGATTGTTGGTTGTTACAACGGCTTTCGTTTCGCGTCGTCGCAGCTCTGAAATGTTGAGGTCGCGACAGCTGGCCACCCTCGCTACGCTGACTGCAGGTTCTGATTTTGGTCACCGCGAGAACGAGATTCGATTTGCTTCTCGCTGAGTGAGCAGCATTCGGTTCGTCCGTTGCGAAAAGCGTCATTCGCAGACGGACGTATAAACCTGACGGCTGGGCCTTGTCTTCGAGGTCGTATTGTGTGAAATGGCCCTTTCCCGTGTATCTATACTCGTTTGTTACATCAAGAAAAATTTTCAGTTTTTTTGCGCATTATTGACGCGCCGCAAGAAGCAGTTCTCGCAAGATTGGGTTATCCGAGGAAGAAACTGTGTTTTTTTTTTGCGTTTGAAACGTCTCGATAAAATAGCGGTAAGCTAAGCTAAAATGTTGCTTGACGGTCTTTTGAAAGGGGTTTATTCGACCCTTTTCAAAAGTTTATCGGGCAACATTGGCGGTCGCCATTGCTTGGATACGAAGCGCCTGATTGGATCCGAGTCGTCGCCGAATGCTGACGTCAGCACTCGTGGCCAATACGAGCTGAGCCGAGTCCTCGCCAAACGCTGACGCAGGCTTCGTGTCCAATAGATGCTCGAAGTGTGTGATCAAGCAATTGCGGACAGGGGTTGGCACAGACTTTTGAAAAGGGTCTATTCAGTACATACAGGAGTAAATCAGTAATATTCCCCAGGTAATAATACTTTTTTCTTTTTTTACTGCGGTATTTTAGGGGAACACATCCCGCAATTTGACGAATGCTTATTGCGGAAATTTCGCTGTGCTAGCCGAGATTTCGGTTGCACGTCAAAAGATCCCCCGGGTCAAAACGCGTATTTTCGTGGGCCACGTGCTTGAATAGTGCATGTGCGTGATATTCTGTTAACATAGGCTTATTCGTGCATGCTTCGATTTGTCGCTTTATTTTTGTATTTGCTTTAAAAGGATCCGTCACGAGCCGTTGACTATGGGTCCTGTTTTGTGTACTTTTTTTTTTTTTCCATTTGTATCGTTGTTGTGCCTGGAAATGTACGTATGAATCACTGGCCAACTCTGCTATGCCGAGCGCAAGTTCGCCTGCTTCTTGCGCATGAAGTTGCGATAGCGTCAGAACACCGAGCTCTCATTGAATTTGATTGGAAGGATAGTGGGTCGACCTCAGTGCGTCTAGCCTTGGTGTTTATCCACTGTCCTTCTAATCAAAGCTCGACGTTCTGGCGTCACCGCAACTCAATGCGGAATAGGCAGGCACAGCGCAAGCGTACCACCATGTTCTCGCAGACGATACCACGCCACGCTTCACACGGTCGCAAAATCTGAGTTATTAAAATCTGAGTTTAATAAAATTCTGGGCTAAAAACAGAAAGTTTGTTGGGGCGTGAGGGTCGCTTGACTGGGGGTCCTTCCGTGCGCGCAGGTGACGCCGCCGTTCAAGCCGCAGGTGACGTCGGACGTGGACACGCGCTACTTCGACCAGGAGTTCACGGGCGAGACGGTCCAGCTGACCCCTCCCGAGGCCGGGCCCCTCAACTCCATCTCGGAGGAGTCCGAGCAGCCCTACTTCCAGCAGTTCTCGTACCACGGCAGCAGCGGCGCGCTGGCTGCGGGACGCCACTCGGCCACCGACCGCCGGCCCGTGCTATCGTGAAGGCGCGCTGCCCCTCTCCTTGTACATACGTCAATAAATGTCCTCCCCCCTTTTTTTGGACGCACGCCCCCCTGGTGTCGACCGAACCGAACGGGTGTCTCTCGGTGGGCCCGGTGCCGGGGTAACGCCGACTAGGTTTGACCAGAGGAAAATTGGCGACTACCTCGCCGGGGGGAAGAGGCGGGGGGTGTTTGTAATTTTTTTGCCTAATCCCCCAAAGGTCATCCTGGGGATGTTCCACACCCCCTGGTAATAGTTACGAAATTGCACTTTTGGTTCTTCATTTCTAGGCTAGGTGGCGCAAGCTACCACCCACTATGAAGTTCAGCCGTTAGTATCCATACATCAAAAAAGATGTGTCCTGCGATTTTACAAATCAACCAATACACTGTTTACACACCAGCCCGCGTAGGTGTTGGCACTGCGCGTGCGCGGAAACCATATTCGCGAGAGAGGAAGAGATTAGCTCAGTTACGCTGCTTGCAAGAGCAGTACTCCGCCGCCTCTCCCCCAACAATTCGCCTCCCGTCGTTCGACGCGCCGCCATGTTTGAAGGACGGCTGCTGTGGTTACTGGTTAACTGCAGTGTATTTCTGAGGAAGTATGTTTCGAAGAACAGCGCCTAGATGATGTTTCACCCAACGTCCTTTGATCCATACTCCGCGTCAACATGTATGCGCTACATTACCAAGGCTAGCGTATAGGTGCCACAGTGCTGCAGCCCCGCGCTGCTGTGAGAGCACGTGACGCATTCCCAAGCGCTCGAGTAATAAACACCCAATTCACACGGCAGCGTAAAGGTACGTGTAGTAAAGGGAGCTGGAGATAGTGACCACACTGCGCAGAGAGGTCCCTTTCGCTAAGGGAGGTCCTTTGCTAAACGGAGCTCGCCAAGCTCCCTTTACAGCTACAGGGAGTAGCCTCGGACCCACGAACTCAAAATAAAAATCACATATATCTCTTGTTTAATGCATCGTAACAAATTGAATATATATAAGTAGGAAATTACTGTGAACCCAAATGTGATGGAATAATACATAATCGAGGAACGCATACTCCAGCTAGCGGGCAGCAGCAGCAGCACGTGGAAAATGGAAAACAATGTCTGCTACGAACCCGCGAACGCGATGGACCACTGCGAGTTCTTTTTCAAGGTTGTAGACGAGTCCATCCCTTTCGATGGCGGGACTGGCGTAACCGTGAGACTGACGTAGTTCGTTTCTGCCGGGCACAATTTATCTGCTTCAGTGAGAACTTTGCGGAAGAATGGAACTGCTAAACAGAAGAAGGTCGCCCACCTCGCAATGGAAACTCGTAAACGCAGATGATTTAGGGCCAGTGTGGCCAGACGGGTCGGACGTTTTAAGGCAAGGCTCATTTAGGTGCGACCTTAGACTTAGAGAAGAAAAAAAAAAACGTGCCGCCAAAGCAAACACGAGCAATATTGTGGTTTTAAATGTGATATTTCACACGCAGTAATAAAAGATCTGCGCGTCAAACCGATTTTGAGGAATAATTGTTTGTCACATGCTCCTCTCGCGGTTTAGCTGGTTTAGCGGGAATGCAATCAACATCAACTTAAAGTGCTCCGTTTATTTGGTTTATTTATCGTGTGATCAAGAACGGCGTTTACTACAGGTACCTTCAGCTAAGGGACTGAAGCAAAAAGTACCTCTACGCTGCCGTGTGAATTGGGTATAAGAAATTTTGTGAGCGTTGGAGCACTGCGGAGGCTATACCAACCTTCACAACGTAGCACGAAAATACTGACGCCGAGTATAGTAACGATGGTTCCACCGTACTTTATGCATGGTCTCATGCTTTATGAAACGCAGTTTTCAAGGGAAAATCTAGATGCGCAACGCAACATACCGGAAATTAGCCGGAACTGAATGGGAAAAGGTTTGAGGTCTAATATTGAACTTCACGTGTAGTGTGCCGATATGTAAGTTCTGGAAAAAGTAATATCGAAGGGTGCTTCGTAATTTAATGTCTCGTAATTTTGATTAGTTGACGTGATTCCGTTTTTATAGCACGATAAAAGAATATTTTAAACTTTTTTTAATATGTAACAATGCATTATTAGTACAGTTCGTTGCTTACTTGTTTTTTTTTTTTATTCATTATATCCTACTGATTGTTCACGTAAATTATTGTGGACGATGTAAGACGTTATGAAACTCGAGAAAAAGCTTTTTTTTTCAGTATCGGACAGGTTTATTAAATGCTGAATAATAAACTAACGACTAAAAATAATCGTAATATCGAGACATTAAAGTATATTTGAAAAACAGCCTTTCAATTTGACATTAACTTTATGACCATAGAGTACATAAAAAGAAAGTTATAAACCGTCGAAAAAACAAAAAGGCATGCACGGTGGGGTTGCACCTTAACCAACGGTCACACGCTACTAATACATCGTACGAGAGACAATCTGCAGTCACTGTTAGAGGCATGCTTATATATAAATACATATATATAACCACACATCGGGGAATCATACATATGGGTACGAAGCAAGAAAATGTTTCCCACGTGCCTTAGGCTTGTCAGCTGATAGTTCTCTCCTAACGTTTCGCTTTTATCCTGTTTAGCGTTGTATTTCTGAAAGAATAAGTGCACCACTAAGGAGGCGTCAAGCTGTTGGTGGGTCACTGAAAATAAGAATAAACAATAAACAATACATCTCCGCGGAGAAACTCCGTGTCTTTTGTATGATGTATGAGCAGTGCCACTGCGGGCTTTGCGTCAGTGTCCTGGTCACAAGCCAGAAGCGCGAGCACCGTGAACGCTTCTAATTGGCACAGCCTGCTGTCAGAACACCCTTTGAAATAAGCGACGCTACAGGAAGAAAGCGAAGACAGGACAAGCGCTGACTGATAACTATCGTTTAAAAAGAAAAAAAAAAATACACACGTTCAATCATAATGACGATGGAAGCACGGAATGCGTAGAGCACAAACTACCAGCCCGCAGAAATTGACGCCGCGTGACTTGAAGTCACATGACGTGTTCACTTCACGTCAATTTGCCCGCTGAATTTAGGAAAAAAATCGACATCACGTGACGAGGTCACATGACGAGGTAAGGTGGCGTCAATGCTCCCGCCAAATGTAGCGGAGAAATTGACGTCCTATCGGCTCGAGGTGGTATTGAGGAGTTTCAGCGACGGTGTCACCGCCCTGGCGGCCGGTCGCCGAAAGAGAACGAGGGGGATAGGTTCGCTGGGCAGTGGCTTTGTGTATATGCGTTGGCCGCGAACGTAGGCTTATAAACTTCGGCAGCAAGAATATTACGCGGCTCTAGTGTTTCGGTACGAGCAACAGAGGTGACACGATCTGCTACGACCAGCTACGACCACCCGCCGCAGCGATGCAGGCGTCGAAGGAGCGCAACCTGTGTACTACGCAGTCAGCCGCCGTCGCCCGACGCAGATCGTTCGGCATTCAGGGCTTTCCGCCCCGGGTTCTTCGCTTGTACTTGGAACCGAGTATTATTTCCTGTGCTTGTGTATGTGCTCAGTGGCTGGATATGGACCTCATAGAGCAGTTCTTCAGACTCAACAGCGATTCAAAGTTGACGGCGGAAGGGCTTGCGGCAACGCTTTCGGTTGGTGCACGGCTGCGACGACTACACGGATAAATTTTAAGATTGGTGCTAGCAAGGTGGGCCATAGTCGCTTTATGTTGACACGATTTTGAGTGTAAGTACTCCGTGCAAAGGCGAATCTATCGCGTTTCTAATCCACCTCTGTTTTTGTTGTTTTTAGCACGCACGACCGTCTGCTAAGCAAATGCTTCTGTACCGATCACGGAGTGAATGTCTTCGGCCTTACATTGCGGAACGCCCAATAAAAAGTCATATTCGTTCAGCAAGAAAACTTCCCTTTCGAGTGACCTTCTGATTGATAATTTCTCCCGTACTTAAGTGCTTTAATCAACACGATCGATTAAGTTTGCTTCCCTAGTTAGGACATTTTTGTGCTACATGCGGCACGAATGCTTGGCACGATGTTTGCCACTGGTGGTATTGTGAATTGGTTTACTTCCAAAGCTAACAGTGTGACAGGTGGGACCATTCAATTTGCTAAAAATGTGATGATATGGGAATTTCGTTGCATAACTAGCGTTTTACGTTTAAGATTGATAAGAAACATGCTGATGTGCTGATGCATGCCTACAGCATAAACTTTGCGGATCCAGAATAGATGTGCTATAGGCTACAGCCTCAAGATTTTTAATGGACCAAATTGGTGATTACACGGCAATAAATGTTGTGGTGAAAAACTGCCCATTGACTCGGTGAGTTTTGATCGTGACCATTGGTGTGCTGTTGGCAAATTAGATAATGGCACACCTTTTCCCTGACCATCTGGCTTCAAGGGGCATTGCATCTAGATGTGCTCAAATATCTTTATTTCAAGATTCAGTGGACCCCTCTGCATCATTACAGTAAGGCAGTGTCAAGTTACAACAAACAGCAGTGAATATACAATGCATAATAACAGGCACCAGTGTCCAGGCGTATAGTCCGCAGTAATCAGTTTGAGCCTAAAAATGTTTGTTTTGTTTAGATAGTTTGCATTTGTTGTATAATCCGCAGGGCCCGATCTCCGCGCCCAGTGCATAGTCCGCCAAGCTGGTGCGTTGTGTCTTCGTGCTTTTTTTCCTGGGTGGCATTTTCTTCAGAAGTTCTTCGGTGAACGCTATTGAGCCTGAAGAACTGCTTTTGAGGCCCATATCTAGCCACGGAGCACACACAAGCACAGAAAATAACACTCGGTGCCAAGTACAAACGAAGCACCTGGGCGGAAAGCTGTGAATGCCAAACGAGCTGCGTCGGGTAACGGCGACTGACTGCGTTGCGCCCCTTCGACGCCTGCATCGCTGCGGTGGGTGGTCGTAGCTAGTCGTAGCGAGATGATCTTCACTTCAAGCAAGAAATCTTGTTATACCATAGTCAAGATATGTGTGCAAGTGTTCAACGACGTGGGCTCTCTCACGTTGGTGCAGTTGTCATCAAGAAAGGTGCATATCAACAATGTTGCGTGTTTGAGGCTGAAACTATAGCGCATACCTATCTAAACCTAAATTTATCGGTCTGCGGCTACAAACATTTTCGTTGACGTTGCTTAGATGATGTAACCATTCAGGCCTCGCATTAAATGGTGTTGCGACTCTTCGGTTGTGTATGAAAACCTATTTTTGCCCTAATAAAAGACATTTCCAAAAGGACATGTGTCTTCTGCTGATACATATCTTCCAATTTACAATGCAGAGGCAAACAGAAAATCAACTGCATACATCTACCACTTAGCATAAGCACCTTTGGCATTCATTCTTGAGCACACTCAAATATCAGCTTAGTTTGGTCTTGTTTTAGAAGCTTTGCCCTGTTCTGTAAAAATAAAACAGTTAAAAAAGCTTTACCTTCGTTCTCCTTCTTGCATTTAATACAGACTTGTTTGTCAGCAGATATCACCGTGGCACATACAACTCGAATGACCGATGAGACTATTGCTATTACAATAAAGCTTTCCACAAGAGCCGAAACGAGGCTTGTAGGGGTGCAAAAGCACATAGAAATGAGATTGGCACTTCCGGGGATTGTTTACATTACGCGTAAAAACAGGACGACCGGCGACCAGCTGATCGCAAGATAACACCAAGGATACCGATGTTTCGATACGCAGGATAAAGACCTCAATCGTCCCTTGTATGCTGCAGTTGTCATACTTTCTATCCAACCGCTTTTTTGCTCAATTAACTAGAACAACCGAAGAGTTCGCGACACCTTTTAATGCGAGGCCTGAATGGTTACATCATCTAAGCAACGTCAACGAAAATGTTTGTAGCCGCAGACCGATAAGTTTAGTATTAGATAAAGTACGCGTCATAGTTTCAACGCGCGAACATTGTTGATATGTACCTTTCTTTGGACCCGCGTACATTCGGTTCTACTTGATGACAGCTGCACCAGAAGTGAGAGCTCACGTCGAACACTTGCACACATATCTTGACTCTGGCAAGATTTCTTGCCTTCAACTGGCTTGAAGACTTCATCTGTAGCATCACGGTAGGTCTTGGTTGAAACGATGATCGTCTCGCACACGGCAACAAACAGAGAACTACACGCTTTGTTTTATTTATACGCTACCGGTCTACGGGCGTCGCAAATCTATCCCCCTCTTGTCCGCCATGTTGGATCGATCGGAGCGCCCCCTATATTCGCTGAAACTCCTCAATCGAGTCTCGTGGTTTGATCACGTAACACAAATTTTTCCCGTTTAAATTTGTGACGGCCTGGAGCTGAGCCGGTTGGTTTGACATGCTTCCTTGAATACCAGCTGAACGTAGAGGAAAAGTGAAGGAGAGAAGAAAACAAAAAACCACACTCCTGTTTTCTTTTTTGTTTTTTCGTTTTTTTCTGTGTTTAGCTGGTATTCAAGGAAGCTTATAATTTTGGCGGGAAAATTGACATGGCGGATCTTCATGACGTTCACTCTCAAATAACTTTGTATACTAAAATGCATTATTGCATACTAAAATGCAAAAGAAATACCAACAAAGAAAAAACGGATGGACATGGGAATATGTCAAGAATAAACTTACCCGGCTTTCTCACACCTGACGCAACTGCGGTGGCGCTGCTGTCGGTATTACGCATGCGCAGACGCTATGTTTCTCGCGAATCAATCTGGTTTGTGCGCAGTGGCCGCACTTGGTGCATTTCAGGAGAGAAGAGTGTCTGCACAGCTTGGATCGGCACTGCAGGTGCGCAAGCGCACGAGCGCCCCGAAGCTTGATCTCCAGAGCCACAGAAAACTGTCCCCCAATCAACAGGGGGACAGAAAACTGTCCTTCTGTTGATGTTGGTTTTGTGTCAACACACACACACACACACACACATGTCATTGGTAGCTTGCCAAAGTAATCTCACGGAAACGAAAACACGGTTGTTCCTAGGTCGATGAACTTTCATGGTTTATTGTTTTGTTCTGGCTGAAGTCATAAAATTCCATAGTACAACGACCGCGCGGATATTTTTTTTTTATTACTTTGGGGGGATTATTAGGTTTAGTGGGAGAGGGGTCGAGGCAGGGGGATCTGTAGAGAGATCTGACGTTACAAGTGATGCGTCGCCCATATTTTTCACTAAAAGCTAAATGTGTCTTCCTAAAACAGCTGGTGCGTAACGGTTTTAGTTTTCCATAAAAAGAGGTTTCCCTTTGAAAGTCTAGAATGGGTGACCCTCCCCCCAACCCTTTTTTTTTTCTTGATGTGGACATGTATGTTTCGTGTGAACTTTTACCCAATACCTGTCACTTCTTCTGTCAGGGGTAAAAAGTATTAGTAAGTAAAAAAAAAATGCTAAAAGTTGAAAAATTATTTCTATGTTACCTTTAGTTAACCGAGTAGCAACCTGACTTGATTAGGTCAGTTGCGTAACTCCTGCAGAAGGGGGTACCCCCTTCACTAACTTCTCACCGCCTCCCGTCGTTTGAAGCGGCACCAGGGTTTTCGTTGGTGGAACGATTCCAGACTAGGGGTGTCGCGAACCGGCCGAGGTTCGAGTTCGGCCAGGTTCGACTTTTAGAGCGCAGCTCTTAGGGGCCCGTTTCCAGCCTGAGCGGCGTCGGCGCCGCCGTCGGCGTCGGCGTAACCGCGAGGTCACGTGACCCCCCAGGTCACGTGACCCTCCTCAGGTCACATGACTCCCCTCAAGTCACGTGTCCCCCTCAGGTCACGTGACCCCCTGAGGTCACGTGACCCCTTGATGTCACGGGGACACGTGACCAAGGGACACGTGAGGTCACGTGACCCCCTGAAGTCATGTGACCCCCTGAGGTCACGTGACCCCCCTGTGGTCACGTGACCCCCTGTGGTCACGTGACCCCTTCAGGTCACGTGACCCCCCTCAGGTCACTCAAGCCCCCTTTGGTCACGTGACCTCAAGGAGTCAGCTATCCCTCAGTACGCTTCCATCTTCCTCCTCAAGAGCTGCGCTCTAACCGGCGTTACAGGGAATTGTAAACGGCTTTCACTTTTTTCGAACTTTTAATGGAGAGTTCGACGAACCTTGAATTGAGGTTCGACTCGTATGCGCATGCGCGACAGGCTGGCCAGTTGGCTTCGGATTGGATGGTGATGGCTAAGGGACGAATTAAGGACAGCACTGATTGGTTATTTCAGTTAGTACAGTACAAAAAAAATAAGTTCTTAACTTCTTCAGTGCTTAGAATTAATTTCTTTTCATTGCAACTGTTCATAAAACTAACCCATTGCTATATATAAAAAAAAGAAGTTTTCCAAACCTAGACATGCTTGTATCCATAATCCAGGACTGGCCACACTGTCTAAGTGGAACCTGTCGAATCTGGTTAAAAGGACGAAGGTTCGCTGAACCGGTTCGAACAAGTCGAACCCCGAAAGTGCTATTAAAAATCCGGTTCGACAAAAGTTCTCGACACCCCTAATTCAGAGGTTGTGCTTCGAAACGTACGTATTCCATAGAGAGGCGAGTCGTGGCGAGTGAGAGGGGGGGGGGGGGGGGGGGGGGGGTTCTACTCGTGCAAGTAGGGTCTATGAGCAGTTCCGTAACTGAGCTAATCTGCGTATGTGGCCGTGTTCTCGCGCACGCTTGTCTTTAAGGTAAACGTTCGGCAGCCCTCTGCCTGGTTAGGATTAGACATGAAGCGAAAAATAGAGACTCTAACCAAAACTTTAATAAACATTTACCCGACGTTTCGGGACCAGTTCGGTCCCTTGCTCACGGGTGAGTCTCAGCCGTGAGCAAGGAACCGAACTGGTCCCGAAACGTCGGGTAAATGTTTATTAAATTTTTGGTTAGAGTCTCTATTTTTCGCTTCACGCTTGTCTTTATTCATTTATATTGTTTTCTTTCTAACCGATGTTTCCGCGGCTTTCGCAGCTGTTTCAAATGAGAACGAAGCAACTCAGGGCGCAACTGTGACGCTGGCATCCGGCCCGTTTTTTTTTTTTTTTTTTTTTTTTTTTTTTTTTTTTTTTTTTTTTTACGGGGCGCAATCCTTTCGGTTTTTACCGACCCCACTGGTCGCCGCACACCTCTCGTTCGACGGTTCTAAAAAGCCGTCGGAGCCCGCAGATAATTAATTACACACAAGGTCGCGGCAGAAGCTGCCCTTGCCCGATTAGATAGGGCGCCGTGTAGGAGAAAGTTGAGTCAGTCAGCCGTCGCAGACGCCGCTCTCAGTCCACGTGCGTACGCTCGCCGGGAGAGACATCGCGCTCGCTCGCCACTGTCCGTCTCACCATGTCCGAGGAGTCGTTGGCCGTCGTCGGGGGAGGTCTGGTACGTGGTTCACCTTCGAAGGCTGCTTCGCTCTTTTGCGTGCCCTCGTAACCGACCGTGCGTTGCGCTCTCTTGTAATCTCTTACCGGGCGGGTGGATGCATGGATACTGCCAAACCCTTTTAATCGGGCGGCGGCTCGCGCCCCCTAGCCGAATCTTTTAATTTCGACGGTAAACTTTAATCGAGTTGGTGTCGGCCGCGATAAGTTCGGGTAAACAATAAGGTTAACCTTTTTAACGGTATATTTCTAAATTCGAAATTACCGGAGCAGGAAGGCTAGAAGCTCGAGGGTTGGCCGCCGTGATGTGCCCTAGAGCAGGTGTGTCGAAACACCGGCCCCCGGGCTGAATCCGCCCCGCGGAGGTCTTCCGAGCGAACGGTGGCTGGCCGCGGTAGTTCCAATGAAGCCCGGCCCGGGGCTCGGTTTGAGCAAACACTCTGTTACCGGCGCAAGGATAGGCTCCGATAAAGAAACGGAGTCGCAACGCGCATCAATGACGTAAGCGAAGAAACCAGAAAAAAAAAATCGAGAGAAATCGGTTTTTTGATAAGGCGTGTCCTCTCGTCTTATTATTATTTGGACATTTTCATTACCAGCGTCACCATGCATTCTTAGTCTTTTCTTTTTGTTTCAACTTTGTATATATACGCTGATCTAGGATTGTTTATTAAGTTAAGCTGTCATTTATATTTATACTTATTTAATTTCCGGGCCTCGAGACAGCAATAAATCCCTGATTGGGACCCTTTGCCAAAACGTTTTGAGACACCTGCCCCAGTGCAAGGAGCTCGCGCTTGTAGCCTTTCCTGCGGTACATCTTAAGGTGAAATAGAGTATATTCACGGCTAAGCACGAGCATTTATTTAAGACACTGGCATAATGGCGTCAGAGGCACTGTGAGTAGCGCCCGCCCTGTTTAAATAAGAAAAAAGGGTTTTGGTTTAACTGACTAATAAAACACTTCCAACTTTTGTAAAAAAAAAATTTTTTTTTTTCTGTGTTAACGAGATTAAACCTGCTCACAGTCTAAGAGAAATAGTCGCTTATAAGATTGTCACGCATCAAGCCCACGGAGCCCACGAAAAAAAAAAAATAATAACCCGTTAAAAGGCACTTATAACAATATACACGCGCGGGGCTATCCAATGGATGGCAGCGCACTTGGTTACAAGGAAACGCGAATGTGTGAACCGCGGCACTTATGATGGACCGCAGTGGACGATACACGAGCCGTCCCAGCCAATCCAGCGCTGGGAACGAATCACGTGACTATGCACCCCGCTCTTCTCTGTGCGCCTCTTCCGAAAGGTCAACACGCGGCGTTCGATTGGCTCCAATGGCTCGTGGCGTCTTGCACGGTCCAGCGCAGGATAACGAAACCGTATACGGAGGGAAACTGTGGGAGATCGCGCGGCGAGCTCTGATTGGAAGGATTAGGGGTAAACGCCAAGGCTTACTGCCTTTGACTTTACCAATCCCGCCAATCAGAGCACACGAGAGCCAGAGTTCGGCACTCCGGCGTCCCCGTGCGCTCTCGCCCCCTCCTCTCCCCCAGTTTCTCGCCGTATAGTACAACGCGGGTGTCACGCGTTCACTGGCACGCGCTCACTGGCATGAACGCGTGCGGCGCAGGTTGGGTCCCTCTGCGCGTGTCTCCTCGGCAACCGGGGCTACCAAGTCGACCTCTACGAATCCAGGGACGGTAAGTGAAAACGCTCTCAAGAGGTCGCGAAGCGTGCCTTGTTGTTTTTATGTTTATGTAGAGAGAGGGAAGGGAAGGGCGGAGGCTTAGGTAAACACCCTTCGGTGATTGACCCGAGCCTTTAGCCGGCTTCCAGATTTGCTTGCCGCGTAAGCGTAAGCAAACCTGGATCGCTGAGGCGTGTTTACATATGCGTCAGCCCACCCCTCCTTTCTACAATCCCGTAAATCAGGTGATGTGACGTCCATGGAAACGCGTCAGTCGCAGAGCCGATATCGGCCGCTTTTCCGAATACGCCTACTGGATTGGGCGCCCTTATCGGCTAATGCACCCATATAGTATCACTAACTGCGGAGTGGCGATAAGATGCTCGCAGTAGAGACTGTAGTGTTGGTTGATCTTCCTTCGCTGGTCTTCCTTCGGTCGTCTTGACCAATGAGGGGATATGTCGACGTCATGTTTCGATCCTCGTGATGGCTGAACGGGTTAGAACGAAAACCAATAAGTGATCGTGGTGCAGCATGATGCACTCGGAGAGCTCCGATAAAACCTTTCAAATGAATCCCGAAACGAAAAAAAAAAGTATGGGAAATTTTAGCTATAAACTTGGATTGAGCGCGTTGGTAATAGATTCAAAAATATACGAGAGAGTCAGACAAAGAGGACGGACAGGACAAACATGTTGTCCTGTCCGTCCTCTTTGTCAGACTCTTTCTAACTATACTTCGTCTCACCCTACGATGGACTGAAGGCGAAAGCTACGGACCGCCAGATACAATTACGAGCCACTTAGAAATTGCGTGCTACTTCGCTTCGACGCACGTCGAAGCGGAGTAGCACGCACCCGGGTTAAAAACTCGCTCTTCTGAATACGGACAACATCTAACGCTTAGAAATAAGGAAGGAAAAAAAAAGGAGACGTTTACAAATCTCTGTAATCTGAAATTAGAGCGCAGCTCTTGAGGATGAACAGGGGGGGGGGGGGGGGGGGGGGCGGTATAGAGTGGAGGGTATGCCCCCCCTCCCTCCTCCGTATCATCTCGTTCTACTCTACTCCTTTCCTCCTCCCCCTCCTTCTCTTACAGCTAAATCTAGCTGCAAAAGTGGCGCCATTTAACTTCAACACCAATTCAACTCCCCGCTAAATTTAACGGGGAGTTGAATTGGTGTTGAGGTCCCGTGACGTCAATTTTCCCGCTAAATTTGGCGCGGTTACGCCGACGCCAACGGCGACGCCGCGAAACACAAAATCGGGCGCCTTAGAGCTGCGCTGTAAAAGAAAATCGGTAGACCTATTTCTAAATTACCCAAGCATCAAGGAGAATGCAGGGATTGGTATTCCACGCGCCGCACGTGGTGGCCTCAGCAGTAGTGACTTGTCTAAAGCAAATACCTAAAACAAATGGCATCTATAGCACGCGCGTTCGTCAACGCTTTATTTTGGTTATTTACTTCGAATATTTTATGCAGCGAAGGTGTGCGCGTGCGGCGCGTGAAACACCAATCTCTGCATTCTCCTTGATGCCTGGGTAATTTAGAAATAGGTCTATCGGTGAATAAAAATGCTTTCACGTAAATTTTCCACGAGTTGATTGACATTATATCGAAACCTACTACTCTAATATGCAGGAAGCTTAGTTTGTGTTCTTTATTCTCTGGAAACCGACTCTTATAGCATATGCTGCTTTGTGGATGTTGTCTTGGTTCGAGTTAAACCCGGTTCGACCTTTTTTTCGAAACTTTTAACGAAAAGTTCGACTATTACGCGCAAGTAAATTGAACACGGGCTGACGTCACTAAGTAAGGGGGAGGTATTTTTATGGGGTGTATTGTTTCTCATTAACAAACGAAATCAAAAATTAAAAATTTGCTCTTATATCTTATGAAATACCGTATACCGTATATGAAATACCGTACAATGTATATAAATTGCGGGTGTTTTTTTTATTTTTGTTTCATCCTGTTTTCGTTGGCGCGTTTAATTTATAGGAGGATGCTACTTCGGTTATATATTTCTTGTTCGGTTCGTTGACACGGATGTTGAAACTGGCTCCCGCGTGCACATATATCGCGACCACAATACACATGTGCGGGCTTATCAAGTCTCTTTCGCCACGCGCCGGCCGTGCAAATATCATGATGTAGAATACCCGAGACTGCGGTAAAAGCTGGGAAAATTGGTCGAAGAAAAAAAGACAGGGGAAAAGAACGTATCAAACTCATCTACTGCGTTTATTTTCTCAAAGCCTTAAATATCCACAACCTAATCACCGACCACCGACGTCATAAGAACAACCTTTGTTATACAATCCTACTGACACTGAGTTTCACTTAACCCGTAAACGGTGACCTCAATCCCAAGCTGAAACCTTGGGACAAAACAATCCCACCGACCCAGTTCTTTTCCAGCCGGCGGAGCTAAGCAGAGATACTCCAAAAAGTATTCGGGAATACAAATACTGAGATCATGTTTTCTAAGGCCAAAATATAGCTACTGAGATACATTTGCCTTTTATGCAACGGGATATCCCTGCCTGAGATACTTCCGCAATAACGGCGAAAAAGTATTCCGGAATACAGATACAGATACTTATAGAAATACATTTGTTCCCGAACGGTGCTATGTGGAGAGGGTGCAGTTCGTTGCGAATGCGAAAGGTAATATATGCTTGTGCTCCTCTTTTTGTGCCATTTTATGCACTACCCATTACCTCGAACTCTTTATCTGTTCCTCTGAAAAAAAAAAAAAAAAAAACATGTCACCCCCGTTGAACCATGCATAGTTACAGAACGGTAAAGACTGCGTGCCATGCTTGACAAAAGGCCTCTGCCCGAAATGAACCCAGTTTTGCCGTGAGGTTGCATCTAAAACTGTCACATTATAAGCCTCTGAGTCACCCATAGTGTAGGGAGATTGTACGTTAGGGCCGTACTTTTTCTCCACTCAAATCCTTTAGATTTTGTTCCGCTAAATTGAAAAGAATAAAGGGCTTTGTGAGAGGAGCTGATTTTGTTATTCTTGCAAGTAACCTTCTTTAAACCACAATTTTTTTTTGTTATTGTTGGTGATTGAGATGGATTATGTTACAAACCAGGTTCATATTACGAATTCCGAAGCAAGTTGCACCAAACAGATGTTTTTATCCTTTAAATTTATCTTAAAAAGGGCAACAAATGTAGCGAGATGCCAAAGTCGGGCAAAGTATCGCGATACGAGCGATACATTGTAAATGTATTTCACTACTGAGATACACATACATTTTAGAAATGTATCTCGATACAGGGATACACATACTCGAAAGTATCTCTAAAATACTATCGCGATACTGCCCAGCTCTGCCAGCCGAAGTCTGGAAGGGCTGTGCTTTATCTAAACGAGGACTGATATCCTCCAACTGAACCCTTGCCCGTAAAATGACTCATTGCACGTTTATCTACAAAATAAAAAGAAACATTACATTATGATTTTAAGAAACTTCTTGGAACTACTTCCAAGTTGCATCGAAGCATGGCTGATAGAGTTACCGATGGGTTTGATACGAAAGGTCTCTTTTATGAGCCTCTTGGTGTTACGTTCTCTGTGCACAATGTCAGTTGCGACCAAAGTGCCGTACTTTTCGCCGGAGAGGAGAGACCAGCCACTCTAGCACAATTTCCACTCTTTTTTTTTTTTTCTTTTTTGCACCGCCAGCGCAATTGCACCCGGTAATTTGTTTTATTATTTTTTTTTATATCTGGCATAGCAACACACGATAGCTTGCATATCGAGCGGGGGACCGGTGGTCGAGTAGGCCAGCGCACACCAGCTCAAAGCACGTGGAGCAAAAGCTCGCGCTGCAGAGCCCAGGGATCCCTAAAGCTTCTCTATCCTGGGAAAAGTGGCGCCATTCATTGTTGTAGAAATTCTTGAGACACGTGCCACGCGCCACTTCTGGGAAGAACATGGCGTCTGAAATCTATAGCTTATGGCGAATTCCACTGGGCGTTTTGGAGCGCGCCGGGATCAGTTGACCAGATCCGGACTGGAGCACACGATCCGAACGGGGTCGCGCCGCCTACGGATCCCCAGTGGAGCATGACCACTGCTCCGGGATCGGCGGATGCCTTCCCGTCATTCAACTGCCCGGGAATCCCCTTTCCGCGGCCGCCGCGGTCGTTTCAAAGACATTTTCGCAATCGCGGGGCTAACACGTGTTCGACGCACGAGCGGCAAGAATGGCTCAGGAGCCCGTATCGCGGCAAATACCTTCTCTTCTCCTTCCTGGAAAACGAACCGGCTGTCGAGCCAAGGGGTAAGCAAGCGGCCATTACGAATTCTTCCGATGTCGAGGCAATTTAGGAGCCCAGCCCGCGACGTGCTTCTTCTTCTGAGGCGAGATGGGCGAGATCAGGCGAGATGCCCCACGAGAAGGGAAGTCACGTGTTTGCGCCGAGGGCTGGCCCGGCTGGCTTCCGGTTGAATCCGCCGAAATCGTGGGAGCGACTTTTCTCGGATCCAGATCGAGATCTGGAGCGGGAGCTAATCCAAAACGACCAGTGAAACACGTCGGTCTCGATCCCGATCGCCCAGTGAAATAGGCTCGCTCCAGAAAAGTCGATCCCGGCGCGCTCCAAAACGACCAGTGGAATTCGTTATTAGTGCTGCGCTGTGCCGCCATGATCTTCCCAAGGGCTGCACGTGCCTCGCGTATCGACGCACCTTGCGCTACTTCTAAAACATAAAGGGGCTTTAGAGACCCCGGGTTCAATCCCCACCCCTGCCCTTTTCGATCTGGATGAGCATCGTACCGGCGTACCGCACTGGCATCGAACCGCACTGGCTAAATTGCTCATCTACAGCTGAGACACCAAACACCCACTCAGGCAGGCTAACATCCGGCTGTATAAACATGCACACACCAATTTGCTATTTTTTTTGCATATCGAAATCCGGGCATCTGCGCTTGAAATTTCCGAAAATGACGGGTTTTTAAACCGAGTTTGAACGCCAGCCGGATGCC